AAGTACCATTTTGATTAGCCGTCGTACCTACAGTGACTGTGCACTGTGTAAACAATGAGTGACGTATACGCGCGAGAGATCACTTCCGGCGCTTGTGTAAACTACGCCAGAGCACGTACACACCTCACGCACCAGATGCCTGCGCGCGCTCAAGGAAGTTGGACATAGTGGTGTATTAGAAGTAAAAAATTATATAAATACTGTTCGGTTTCTGGCACAAACCAATCGTTTCGTGTCTTAGGACATCAATGTATCGTCACGAGCCGCAGGGTTTAATTTGGATTTGTCTGTGCATGTTTTTTTTACTCTCATAGATTTTGTTACCATTGCCATGCATTATACGATTGATAGACTGCAACGGCTGGAGTTAAAAATCATCAAATGTGTTCTACTGAAGAAACAAAGTCACCTACATCTTGGATGCCCTGCAGGTAAGCAGATAAACATCAAATTTTCATTTTTGGGTGAACTATCCCTTTAATAAATACTTAGCATGTATAGACTACATTCAACTACACTTGAAAACAAATGGCAAGTTTATATAATAATTTAGATTATTAAAAAGTTTTTAATAAAAACTGATTCAACTAATTTTACATTATATCTGGTATTAGTACATAGTATTAGTGATATTATCTACTAGAGATTTAAAGTCAATGAATGTCTTACACTCTAGTTTGTCTCGTGGATTTCCATCCTCCAATATGGAAAAGTAACAAGATACAGCTTTAAGAGAGACACAGCTTGACAGAGGAGATCAAAGATTGGCAGCAAACAAATAACACTCAAATTCAAAGTAATGATCACCACAACAAATAAAAGAACCTGGATTTCACTTTTTTCTGATTTTTGCAGCCCAAAATGATTCAATTTGCTGCAGCTTTTCTCTAAAATGTGGTTGATATTTATGGCATTTTAACTGGTAACTGATTATATTTGACTACTTTTCTAAATTTCTAATGAATGTTTTTAACTGTTAATCATTTTCAAATATTTTATGCAGGCAGGGTTAACGTCAGAATTGCATCACTTTACTAAATGGCATTTAAATGGCAGGAGGCATCGTGCACATCAAAAACAGGCAAAGGAGCAAATTAATTTTATTCAACATATCCTAGCTTTTTACAGGAAATATTCAGTAACCCCCTTTGTAATCTTTAACATTTTCTTAAGTAACTGTAATTTAATTACAATTTTTTTCTTAGTAACTGTAATAGATTACGGTTACATTTACTTTGTTATTAAATTAAGTAATCCAGTTACATTTAACTAGTTACTCCCCAACACTGGTGAAAACCCACAAATAATCATTATGCACTTGTGCAATTTAATGTTAGTGACAGTAAGAACACAATTACCTAATTTAAATATATTTTTGTCCATAATTACTGAAAAATGTATTTCATAATACAGAAGTGAGTTATAGATGCAGATGCTTGCACGCTGTCACTGATTATATATTTACCTTTTGTACCTATGTACCTTTAAAATTATGAATTGATACTGTTTTCACTATTTGAAATTGCATTGTCAGCTATTGCATTTATTCAAAATATTTAAAAAGTGCATGTGTCGTAGAACATTATCATCTTGTCTTGTGCAATATAATATGTAAACAAGGTGTTAGATCTCTCATGAAGTTTGGATGTGAAGAGGTTTGGAACAACATTGAATGAATGACTGAATTTGTTTATTTATTTATTCATTCATTCATTCTGAGTGTGAACTATCCCATTTACACTAAGTTATATATTTTAAGTTATATAGGCTACTTTAAATTGAACCAAAATCTGGCTAAATATCAAACAATCACCCCCACCGTCTGTTCCATGATTTATCTTGTTATTCTATCATGTATGAGTCAATGAAGAATTATGTCTCTTAATATTCTGGATGTGGTGATTTATGAAAGACACTTACATTCTATATACTCCTGCAGCTGAAGTCAACGGGGCTAATCTCATCCCAAACTTATTATATCATTTTTAACGTAATGATTATATTATGTATGGACAAATGAACTATTGTGGAAGCCATTGTTAAGCTTACATCTCCAAACCTGTGGTGGAACAGCATGAAATTCCTTCATTGCATCTTTCGCCTTTAACCTGCTGTCGAGGAAATTCAAAACAAAGAAAAACAAAGAGGAAAAAAAACAATTGTAAAATTAAATCAAAAACAAACAAATAATAGCTTTTTATATATATTTAAATAATCAGCTATTTAACTAGAATATTCTGCCAAAGTCTGTTCCATGATTTATCTTGTTATTCTATCATGTATGAGTCAATGAAGAATTATGTCTCTTAATATTCTGGATGTGGTGATTTATGAAAGACACTTACATTCTATATACTCCTGCAGCTGAAGTCAACGGGGCTAATCTCATTTTCTAAATCAGATTCTGTGGCCATTTGTTTATCCTAAATCACTCAACCTGAGAAATAAGGACGGAGAAAGGTCTATATTCATAATGAATATATGAATGTGCTACACAGCTACTAAATAAGAAATTAAACAATTACCTTTTTGTGGCAAACTGCTTTAATATTTGGTGTGCTCATTTCAAGAAGGTGTTTTGATTACAAGACATCTTTATTTCCACAAGTGAATAATTTCTATCCTAAATCACTCAACCTGAGAAATAAGGACGGAGAAAGGTCTATATTCATAATGAATATATGAATGTGCTACACAGCTACTAAATAAGAAATTAAACAATTACCTTTTTGTGGCAAACTGCTTTAATATTTGGTGTGCTCATTACAAGAAGGTGTTTTGATTACAAGACATCTTTATTTCCACAAGTGAATAATTTCTGTAACATGTCCCTTACGAAAAAGAAGTGTATTCAAGTGTGCTATTAATATACTTCTTTTAAACTAAAAATAGGAAAGTATACTTTTAGTCTACTTTTTATGTACTTCTCAGAAATGGGCTGTATGTACTTCTCAGAAATATACTTAAAATGACATTTAAGTTTACTTGACTTATACTTATGACTAAATACTTATACTTATTTACTTGACTTATGACTAAATATATTTGAGCTATAATTGTGCTCCTAGAATCCGTGTTTTCATTGTTATACGTATTTCATTAGTAAACTATCAGTATACCTATAAGTTCACTTTTAGTATAGTTGCAGTACAAACTAAACATTTTGATGTAAACTAGTTGTATACTCAAAGTTTACTACTGTTATACTTAAAGTATATGTAAAAGTATACTTTTATATACTAGAAAGTGGGCCAATTTAGTCCCAAGGAGTATTGAAATAGTACACTTACAAGTATACTACTAGTACACTGATATTTGCATACTTACTACATAAAGTATACTTTAAAAATATACTTGAACTTTACTTAAGTATACTTGCTAAAATAAACTTGAAGTATACTACTTTTTGGTAAGGGGTGCTATATTGACACTGTGCTGAAAGTTAATGTAGAAGCACAGCAGATGAGCAAAACAATGAAACAAATCAACATTAGCATATTAGTGTTATGTAAAACAACTGACAAAGGCATTAAGCCAAACGTTACAAGATAAGAATTCGTTTAAGGGACTAAATTAAATAAGACAAGTAGTTTTTCAAATAAATTAATAAACAAATCCCGAGTTGCTCCAATTTAGGAATTTCTAATTTGGATTGCGCCTCCGAACTATTTTCACATCTGAATTTGCCCAGCGATTTGAAGTTGACTCTTTATGGTGTGACAACGTGTGCATTTCATATAATAACAATTATTTCAAAACGCACCCTAAACACACTTATTTTAATTAATCTTACCTTAAAAAGTCGAATGAATGAGGGATTAAATGCACGTTTATAACGCGTTAAATGCAGCCTAGATATCTATCGTATGTGGATTAACACGCAGTGTTGGGGGTAACGCATTACAAGTAACGCGAGTTACGTAATCAGATTACTTTTTTCAAGTAACTAGTAAAGTAACGCATTACTTTTGAATTTACAAGAGAATATCTGAGTTACTTTTTCAAATAAGTAATGCAAGTTACTTTTTTCTTCAATGTATTGATTGACAGCTCTCCTGTCCCCATGTTGACAGAAATCAGAAGATGTTACTGTAGTTATAAAATAAATATAAATATGCATTTGTAAGTCGCTTTGGATAAAAGCATCTGCTAAATGACTAAAAGTAAAAGTAAGTAATGCATTAATTTTATCTCACTCACACAAACACAGATTCAGTATTTCTCAAAATGAATAAAAATAATGCAACTCAGAATATGACGCAAACCTGCAATAATAACACACATATCCTTTATGTATTTAATCCCATTCTATTAACCAGTGTCTTTGCTTCTGACCTTCGATGATCCAGTTCAACCAGATTTAAAAAGTAACGCAAAAGTAACGTAACGCATTACTTTCCATAAAAAGTAACTAAGTAACATAATTAGTTACTTTTTTATGGAGTAACGCAACATTGTAATGCATTACTTTTAAAAGTAACTTTCCCCAACACTGTTAACACGCATGTATATTACAAATATTTTCACAAGAAGGACCGTACAGCTCAAGTCTAAAATGTATCTGTAAAAACACGAATATTTTTCACATAAATCTTACACATTTTCATTTAACTCTTGCAGATAATTCAACTTTCAAATTATGCATATGTTTGGATTTGAATTTGTGCGGGTCGTATACGTGTGGATAACTACGTCATGACGTACGGAAAACATTGCGTCATGACGTTTTATGAAAAAACCGTCAACCACTGTAAGCGGTAGTTGAATGTCCACGTTAACTGATGATTGACAGCCGTCAGAACATTTCGCGCAGTGAGTCTGTTCAAGATCATTCACACAAAGTGTTGCAGATGACGAGAAATAGTAGGCTACTATTAAAACAGAAAAGGCAGCCATAGCTCAGTGCTAACCTTCATTAGTTTCCTGCGGTGCAGTGTTGCACGTGCATGTGTCGTCACAGCGAAATCAATGTTTGTTTGACAAAAAAAGTTATTCGCTTACATGCATCTTTAATTAGTATTGTCTTGCATGTGATTTGAAATAGTGAGTGTAAATGCAAAAAGCTTTCTTTTTTTCTGTTCTATCTACTTGTTTTTCTTTGTATGTGTGTATATATATGTGTGTGTGTGTATAATATATATATATATATATATGTATATGTATATATATACACAGTGTTGGGGAAAGTTACTTTTGAAAGTAATGCATTACAATATTGCGTTACTCCATAAAAAAAGTAACTAATTACGTTACTTAGTTACTTTTTATGGAAAGTAATGCGTTACGTTACTTTTAAAATCTGGACAGGGCTTGCTTGTTTGTTTTTAAAATAAAAAAGTTATATTTTTGTCAAATATAAAAGCCTTTTCACACCAAAAGTGAAATGAATGCGCCTCAGGCTGAAGGGAAAGTAAATTTACGTCCGTACAGTAGAATGCAGAAGAAGAAATTTCAACACACTTCAGCAATAAACAAAGACACACAAATGTTTGTCTAGAGTAATTTGTGCTTATTAGTACGCTTGAACTGGATCATCGAAGGTCAGAAGCAATGACATTGCTTTATAGAGTGGGATTAAATACATAAAATATATTTGTGTTGTTTAGTTTAACATTTAATTATTGCAGGTTTGCGTCATATTTTGAGTTGCATTGTTTTTATTAATTTTTTGTGAGTGAGATGAATTAATGCATATTCATATTTATTTCTGATTTCTCTCAACATGGGGACAGGAGAGCTGTCAATCAATAAATTGGAAAAAAAAGTAACTCGTGTTACTTATTTGAAAAAGTAACTCCGATATTCTCTTGTAAATTAAAAAGTAATGCGTTGCTTTACTAGTTACTTGAAAAAAGTAATCTAATTACGTAACTCGCGTTGCTCCACTATTTTTCGCCGCAGCATTGGGGGAATTGGTGATCCTCTGCCCATCTTGACTTCTGAGAGACACTGCCACTCTGAGAGGCTCTTTTTATACCCAATCATGTTGCCAATTGACCTAATAAGTTGCAGATTGGTCCTCCAGCTGTTCCTTATATGTACATTTAACTTTTCCGGCCTCTTATTGCTACCTGTCCCAACTTTTTTGGAATGTGTAGCTCTCATGAAATCCAAAATGAGCCAATATTTGGCATGACATTTCTAAATGTCTCACTTTGAACATTTGATATGTTATCTATATTCTATTGTGAATAAAATTTAAGTTTATGAGATTTGTAAATTATTCCATTCCTTTTTTACTCACAATTTGTACAGTGTCCCAACTTTTTTGGAATTGGGTTTGTAAATGTAAATGCAGCAGATGTGGACTGACATGTGTATCAATTTTTACAGGATTTGGGCAGAAGCAGACTGATCATGAGCACAGAGACTCATGTGAAGGACGTTAAACCTGGACTCAAGAATCTCAGTGTCATCTTCATCGTGCTGGAAACAGGTGTCCAAACAACACATTACCTACATGAAGTGGAAGAACAAAACCATGAACAAAAGGAAGAAAAATAATAATAATTTAACTGCATTAACATTGCATTATTTACATTTAGTCATTTAGCAGATGCTTTTATCCAAAGTGACTTACAAATGAGGACAATAAAAGCAGTCAAAACTAACAAAAGACCAACAATATATAAGTGCAAATGACAAGTCTTGGTTAGCCTAACGCAGTACACGTAGCACGGTGTGTATATATATATATATATATATATATATAGTATACACACACAAAGAAAAACAAGTAGATAGAATAGAAGAAATAGAATAGAAAAATATATATTTTTAAATTACAATAGAAAAAGAAGATAAATGTAGATAAAGTAGAATTAAAATAGAATAGAAAGTGTTAGAGTTAGAGGGTCAAATAAAGGTGGAACAGATGTGTTTTAGGCATGTTGTTGGTTTAGATGCAGTAATAAGTTTATTTAGCTCTTCCTGTCCTATAGCTGTAAAGCACTGCAGTTTATCTTTTGGTGCGATGAATGAAGCTAAAGTATTATACGCTGTAGAATCTACATTTGTTATTGTATTTCTGATGTTATCTATTTTATCAGTGAAGAAATTCATAAAGTCATTACATTACTAGCCAGTGGTGGTTTTGTAGGCAAACATTAATGCCTTGAATTTAATGCGAGCAGCTACTGGTAGCCAGTGCAAATTAATGAACAGAGGTGTGACATGCGTTCTTTTCGGCTCATTAAAGATTAATCTTGCAGCGGCATTTTGGATTAATTGTAGAGGTTTGATAGAAATGGCTGGAAGACCTGCCAAGAGAGCATTGCAATAGTCCAGCCTGGATAGAACAAGAGCTTGAACAAGGAGTTGTGTTGCATGTTCTGAAAGAAAGGGCCTGATCTTCCTAATGTTGTATAAAGCAAATTTTTTATCAGTTTTAGTAATGTGGTCTGAGAAATTCAGCTTATCATCAATTACAACTCCAAGGTTTCTAGCTGTTTTTGAAGGAGTTATGGTTGATAAACCTAACTGGATGGTGAAATTTTGATAAAGTGATGGGTTTGTTGAAACCACAAGCAGTTCTGTCTTAGCCAGGTTGAGTTGAAGGTGATGGTTCATCATACAACAAGAAATGTCTGTTAGACATGCTGAGATGCGAGCAGCTATCGTCGGATCATCAGGATGGACTGAGAGGTAGAGTTGAGTGTCATCAGCATAGCAGTGATATGAAAAGCCATGTTTCTGAATGACAGAACCTAGTGATGCCATGTAGACAGAGAAGAGAAGTGGTCCAAGAACTGAGCCCTGAGGCACCCCAGTAGCTAGTTGTTGCGACTTAGACAACTCACCTTTACACCTCAATCTATTTAGCAGATGCTTTTTATTTAAAGTGACCTGACTGACATATCAGGAAAACCAAAAGCATTTTTTTCACACAGGAACCAACAATAGCAACCCCACAATACTGAATTTTGGGAATAACTGGAGTGCATCTAATAATGGCTTAATGCATTATAGTAGCTCATTCCCTTAAAAACAAGTTCTGTGATGGTACTATAGTACAACCTTAAACACTGTAAAACTTTTTCATATTTTAATATATGCCCTAGTGTTGTATTATTTCACTATTCATCATGCACTCATGGTAATCCTTTGAATTGTTGTACTTTTTGTTAATGGCTCCATTTGTCAATGACATTTAGTTACATTTTTAAATATATTTAAGTATATTAATTAATGTAGTATAAATAAAAAACCCATGAAATCTAACTGCGGATAATATGGTTGCCTGAACTTTACCACTAAAAAGACTGAAATTAATTTACAGTAATTGTATATTTTATTAACTGAAATAGTGTTAATATACCACATTACTATTTGTTTAACCTATTATAATATTATGACAACCCCCATTATACAGGTGGTGAAAACATGACTAAAATAATACAATAAACACTGTAAATTATCATATTTTCTTTTGTGTATTTAGCTATAAACACTGTAACAGTCGAATCTCAACAGTAGTCACTAGTCACCTGGACTCTGAATCAAGATCTGAACCTTCTCTCAAACTCTCTCATTCAAGGACGAGTGACGAAGACCAAAGACGGTCATGAGGTGCGCACATGTAAAGTGGCTGACAAGACAGGCAGCATCAGTATATCCGTTTGGGACGAAGTCGGTGGCCTCATCCAGGCTGGTGACATCATCAGACTTAACAAAGGGTGAGACTGTGATTGATCAGTGATACACATTGAAAGTCTATCAAGCATTTCTAACATATGCTGACTGTGCTCAAAAGACGCATTCATTCTGCAATAATATAAACAATCGATTATAGTGAACAGTTTTGTAATTTTATAGTAAATATCGCTAAAACTGTTGATATACAAGACTAAAAGTATAAGTTTACAGTCTACAGAACTATTTACAGTACATTTATATTTTGCCGCAGTTATGCCTCAGTTTTTAAAGGCTGTTTGACGCTGTACACTGGAAGGGGAGGTGAACTACAGAAGATTGGAGAGTGAGTTGAGTATTGATTATATTATTATTAAGAAGTTATTTAATCATTCATTTTTTTGTAAATGTCAGTATAGTTATCATTATAGTTATCATGGCAGTATATTTATTTCAATATGGATTGTTTTGCATTAAAAAACTTATAATATCAGTATGTACAAATACAGACAAATATACAGTATATATATAAAGGGGTCATATGATGCAATTTCAATTTTTCCTTTCTCTTTGGAGTGTTACAAGCTCTTGGTGCATAAAGAAGATCTGTAAAGTTGCAAAGACTAAAGTCTCAAATCCAAAGAGATATTCTTTATAAAAGTTAAGAGTCAGCCACACCTACCTAAAACGGCTCGTTCTAACACGCCCCCACATGTCTACCTCACTATGTGGGAAGATTTGCATAACGCCGCCCCAAATGTTCACGCAAAGAAAGAAGGCGTAACTTTTATTCTCGCTGTAGTATTGTTGTTGCCGTATGTTTCATTGTGAAAGCGAAACTACTTTGTTTGGCCTTCCAAAAGAGGACGATATCCGAAATATCTCCAAAAGAGCTGATCCGTGCTGGTCGCTGCGGAAATACATCAACTTCTCGCTGTGGATCACTGGATCGGCTTTCACCGTGGACGAAGCGGGACACAGTATGTTAAGGGGCATAACATTTCCATCACACGCGTGAGGTATTCGCCCAATCACAATGCACTGGATAGCTGGCCAATCACAGCACACCTCGCTTTTCAGACCGATGAGCTTTGTAAAAATCGACGCGTTTCAGAAAGGCGGGGCATAGAGGAGAAACAATAATGTACAGTATGTGGAAAATAATGTGTTTTTTAAAACCTTAAACCGCATAAATACATTTCATTACACCAAATACACAAAATAATGTTCTTTTTAGCAGCATCATATGACCCCTTTAAACTTCATCTTGCCCAAAATATTTTATTTTGAATGAATTCATGTTTTGTATCCAATTTGTTAGATTCTGCATGGTGTATTCAGAGGTGCCAAACTTTAGTGAGCCAAATCCAGAATATTTGGCCCAGATGAATAAAACGGTATGCCTAAATGGATTTCTGTCTTAATAATTAATCAGGTCATTATTAAAAACTTTTAACTGTTGGTCATGGTAGTTCACTTTGTTCTTGTTACCCATCAGGGACTGAATGACCAGAGCAACATGAACAGCAGCACTGCTGCCCCTGCAGGTATAATTTTAATGTGCAACATGTTCTTTTTGCAGTGAACCACTAGCCCAGTGTTTTCCAACCTTTTTTCTGCCGTGGCACAGTTTTGATATGCAAAAAAATCCCATGGCACACAACTAAGCTTTAAAAAAAAAAAAAAAGACAGAAAGGGTAAGATTAATTTTTTATTTTTTTCTATATTTAAACATTGCGTCATCAGAGTTGGTATTTTGGCTTTATACGTGATCAGACACTTGCACTTAATTTCTGAAGATCATACTCAAATGGAATTAACAAGGTTTTTGACGACCGAATGACGGAGATCTGTGTTTTGTCCATCATTAGAACGGCTGCATCTGAAGCAGTTAATCGAATTACGTTTTCATCAGTTTGCAGGTTATAAAGTTTATTGTAGCTATATGAGTGCTCAGTTTCTCTTGTTGTTTAATACATTTGGCCAAAATCTCACAATATAAATAATGAACCGTTATGCACAGGATATTTAAAACGTAGAAAAGTGTATTGGCTACAACTAGACAGCAAATGCTAAGACTCTTCTCTGCTCTTTAAATACACAAAAACATTAGCCTTTATAGACAGTGTTTCTTGAGTCAAGGCAACGCTGTACTTAATTAAACATCAGTTCTTTATTTACGCTTGCATTGTGAAGAATTAGACGTCTGTCTTCAAACAGGGTGGCGTTAGGTTTGACTGACAATTTGAGCATCCAATGGTGTTACGAGGTTTAGTCACAAGCTCTTTTGAATGCTTTTCATTAGGTTAAATATTTGTAAAACCCACAAACAGACATAACGATGACCAATAGCACTGATTTAAAATAATAATAACAAAATATAATAGAGATAAGGAAGTTTTAGAGTGTGCCGCTGCACAGTGGTTGGGAAACACTGCCTATACTTTTGTAAGAATTATAAAGCCTTTGGGGTTCCTAGTTATTTGATAAACCTATTTATGTAATGTATTCCTGGTCCACAGACATTTTTTACTCTTTGAAGGTAATGACACTCCCAATGGAAATGGGGTGAATTCTCAAGGCTCTGGCAACTCTACTAATCCACAGCCGGGTAGACGAGCAAGTAGTGGAAATGGAAACAGGTCAACACCAAGCCCGGGTGTGGGAGGAAGTACTGTGAGCAATGGCAAGGAGACACGACGAATGGTCAAAAGATGATTTTGTTCAGTAATGAATCAGCATACAGTAATAATTTCAAAATGGTTGTGAGCAGCTATTTGTCATGTATTGCTAAACTTTGAGCTTAATGCTTATATATACAGTGGGTACGGAAAGTATTCAGACCCCCTTAAATTTTTCACTCTTTGTTATATTGCAGCCATTTGCTAAAATCATTTAAGTTAATTTTTTTTTCCTCATTAATGTACACACAGCACCCCATATTGACAGAAAAACACAGAATTGTTGACATTTTTGCAGATTTATTAAAAAAGAAAAACTGAAATATCAATTAATCAAAAAGGAAGTTTTGATATATTTATGGTAGGAAATTTACAAAAAACTTAATTGAACACATTTACTTAATATCCTAATGATTTTTGGCATAAAAAAATCTATAATTTTGATCCATACAATGGCTTTTTATTTTTGGACCAAATTATTGGCTATTGCTACAAATATACCTGTGCGACTTATGACTGATTTTGTGGTCCAGGATCACACACACACATACTGTATATACTTGTTTAACTCTATTGATTGTCCAGTCTTGTAAAGTCACATGTTTTTTTAGGTGTTGCTTCCTGTTTTTCTTGTTTTATGCTCTCCAGAATGAACACACTAAGCTATTATAGTTTCTAGCACAACTTCTGATTGTTAGTCAACTTTTGATTATTAGTTTCAACATTAATAAGCTTTGTAAGTTACAGTGCCCTCTAAGACCAGAATCTGATCACATTTGATACAGTGGTGTGAAAGTTTTTGCCCCCTTCCTGTTTTTTTTGTTTTTAATTTTTGCATATTTGTCACACTTAAAAGATTCAGATCATCAAACACATTTTAAAATTACACAAAGATAACCCCAGTAAATACAAAATGCAGTTTTGAAATAATGATTTCATTTATTAAGGGAAAAAACTGTCCAAACCTGCCTGGCCCTATGCGAAAAAGTAATTGCCCCCTAAATCTAATAACTGGTTGTGCCACCCTTTGCAGTAACAACTGCAATCAAGTGTTTGCGATAACTGCCAATGAGTCTTTCACATCGCTGTGGAGGAATTTTAGCCCACTCTTCTTTGCAGAATTGTTTTAATTCAGCCACATTGGAGGGTTTTCAAGCATGAATGGACTGTTTAAGGTCATGCCACAGCATCTCAATCGGATTTAAGTCTGCACTTTGACTTGGCCACTCCAAAACCTTAATTTTGTTTTTCTTGAGCCATTCAGAGGTGGATTTCACGTAGGGCCAGGTAGGTTTGGGCAGCTTTTTTCCCTTAATAAATGAAATCATCATTTAAAAACTGCATTTTGTATTTACTTGCATTATCTTTGTGTAATATTAAATTTGTTTGATGATCTGAATCTTTTAAGTGTGACAAATATGCAAAAAAATATATACATTTTCACGGCACTGTATGTTTCCCCAAGATCCCCAGAAGTTTTGAATTTAGAATATTGCATGGCTGTAAGTTAGCCATTATGGGGTAAGGCTGACAGATTTTCTTAAAAATTAGATAAGCATCCTGTGATGAGTTTTGGAAACAACTACAGTTAAACAGCTGAACATTTTCCAAGCCAGAAATGGAAAACTATGTGATCATTGATTGCAATTTGATAAGAGAGCTTCTTGGATTCCTAAAAAAATCTGATGTTTCACATGAGACCCACTCCAATTTCATAAACAGTTTACATTGTAATTGTTGTCCGTCGCAGAGGATTTTTGAAACAGAAAAGCCAAATAAAAAGAAGCTGTAAGAGCATTTATTCCTAAACACTGAAAACATGCGACCATTAAAACTTTTTTTATTTGCAGATTTTCAGCTATATTTTGCCAGAAAGTTCTGATATAAATAAAAAGGAATGGAATAAAAAAACGTGATGGTTTGTTTCAACTCTTTTTTTTTTGCCTTGTTTTTTTATGCTTTGCCGATAGGACTAGGGGTGTGCCGGTACGAGTATCGGTACCAAACGGTTCACGGGGCAAATTCCAAATGGAAGTGATCATCCCTATCCCCTTGGAGTGGGGATTTTGGAGTGAGCAGGGCACGTGCGTGCCATTATGTAGTCGTTTGGAATGCACTTGGCAAAGGGAGCGACCTAATTTCCTCATCTATTATATAGCATAGATTTTGTTCACTTGGAACCTCAACCGAGGTGGTACTGAAAAAGTACCAGG